TGTCTATAATGTAACAGTTACACATTATAAATGTATTTAGGTTGACATTTAAATAACAGAAACCGTTCTGCAAAGGACTGGTACTACAAAGTGTCTAAAAATAATTAAGTATGCTTTCACTGTGTTTGAGAGAAAGTTGTTAATGGCAAAACATAACAAATTACAGAAAGTCTAAAGGACTTCGAAGCTTGATCCAAAGGCAACTGGGCTGGTCAAGATCTTTAACAAGTCCAGTTTCCTTTGGATCAAGCTTTCAAATGACCATGACCTGGATGACTGAGAACTTACTCAGACATCTTAAAGGACACGTGGGTGTGTTTCATTCTGAGAATAAAAAGTGTTTAATTTTCCTTCAAAGTCAAAAAAGTGTCATTTTACTGTACAGGTGAAGCAACAACATGATAGAGTGACAATAAAAAAAATGTACAACTTCCAAGTAAACATTTCATCTGTTTTTTAGAGCGGTTATCCTCATGACATATGGTGTCCTTGGTTTGTTTGAAGCAACTGTTTCGACCTCTACCCTGGGATTTAATCCTACTGAAGCACAACTTTAAACACTTACATGGAGTTTAGCAAGCACAAACCCTAAAAATGTACAACAACCTGTAAGAAGATATATACTGGAATAGTTGATTTAATCAGTAAAGTTATACTACATGAACCTTATGAAAGTAAAACAGCCACCATATTTTCAGAAATCAGTTGTAGAGCTGGAGTTTCCCCCCCTGAACTAATCATGTGCAGGGGCCTGAGATCAAACCCTGACTGAGTCTGTGATTTATTCATCACACTGCACATCTGTATCACCATGATGTGACGGGTTGTAGAGAAAGACCTCAAATGAGAGGTAGCATAACTAACTCTCTCTAATCAAGATATCCAGAATTGTACTTTGCCCCACCCTTGATAAGACCGGTTTGTCCACATAATGGAATGAGTTTTGTTTCTCCGCTTGTGTTGTTTATCGGTCGACTCTGCCTCAAACACACTGAAAACAAAGCCCCACACTTTACAAGTAAGCATTGTTGGAGTATATTTTCGTCATACAAATAAAAACAAAAACATGGAAATGCTTCCTGTTGATAATAAAAAAAAAATGTTCCACTTTACATATCATTTGGTAATAACTTTTCCTGAATACCATGTCAAAGGGACATCTGAGCTTCACAGACCAGCGGAGGGAATGTTCTCGACTTGAGAGGAGGTCTGTGATTTTGTGAGGAGTGGATCGACTGGACTAAAAAGGTGCAAGGATGCTGCGGTATCCTACGAAGACATGTTGGTTTTCTTGACCTTTTGTATTTCCTAGAAGAAGAAAAAATGTATGACTACACAGGTAATGTTTGAAAAACAGACAAATCTACAACAATTTATAAAAAAAAATGTGGAACAAGACCATGCAACTCTTGCTGAAGAGATAGCAGTGTGCACAGGTTCAATACTGTCTCTGGCTTGAATGCCTCCACCGTGCAAGAAGAGCAAGTTTGGCGAGATGGCTTTTTAATGTTGGACTTGTAACTCCTAATACTCAAGCTAAAAGCTGACTTCAAATATCTTAGAAGAAAGGCTGGGTTACTAACATAGCTATCAAGCTGATTAGCCTGGCATGCTAACACTTAAAATGATTTAATTCATCTTTGAGTTTAGTATTTGGTTTTAGCTTTAAACTGGCTCGTTTAAATTTCCCATAAATCAAAAGCCTGTGAAGCCTTCTGTGCAAATGTTATAAAGCCTGTTTGTTGATGCTCAACTTGTAGCATTTGTTTTGTTTTGATCATTTCAAGTTAAGGTGTGAGTGCTGCACCAGTAACTCACCTCAAGAAGAACTGCCTTTAACTGCCCATGAGCTTCCTCCAAACTATCATTGACAATTACTGTATCAAATAATCCTTGCTCTTTACCTAGAAGGAGAGAGAAGATAGAATTATGTTTAGATTTATGTTTTTAAAAAGCTCGTTTTTATTACATTTTATGCAGACAAAGAATAGATACTTACTAATCTCCATATCCACTCTGGCTGCACGTAAACGCTTCTGGAGGCTCTCCTCTGACTCCGTTTTTCTGTCTATTAAACGGTGTTCCTGAAACGACACAAATCGACAAAGTGCTCATTTAACAGAGGGCGTTCAGAAATGTATACACATATATATTTTTTAAGATTTATTTGTGGGGATTTTTGCCTTATTTGATAGGACAGTGGATAGAGTGGGGAATGACATGTGATAAAGGAGCGACAGGTAAGACTTGAACCTGGGCTGCCTACTTGGATATTTAAAGCAACAATTAAAACCTGTATTACCAGGTGCCTGTGGATCAAAGAAAAGTTGAGGTGACACCCAGGAACTCCTCTCTGGCAGTGACACAGGAGTGCAGTGCGGTTTGGTGATGTAATGCAGTGTATATCTGGCTGTGCTTACCAGGACCTCCATGGATGGCGGCTGGATAGAGATGTAGATGGGATTGAGGTCGGTCCTTTTAATGCTCCTCACACCCTGCATGTCAATGTCAAGTATACAGATGAGGTTCTTGGCCTGGACGTCTTGAAAAGCCTCTTTACTCGTCCCGTACATGTTCCCTGAAAACTCTGTGTGCTCAATGAAGTCTCCGTTTTCTATCCTTGTCTGCATCGCCTCTCGTGTGACAAAATGATATTCTGAAAAACATCAGCATAAGGATTAAGAAAGCTGTGGTGCCACGGACAAATATAATTTGATTAAGGGTTACAGTGGTTGAAAAAGAGGAGAATGTTGTACCTTTGCCATTCACTTCTCCAGGACGAGGATTTCTTGTTGTGTCTGAGGAGAAAAAAAAAAAGAGACATCTGCTAAATGTCAGAAACAAATGGCTCCAAGAGAAGCAATTATGTCTCTATGGTTGGTGTTTTTCCTGTTTCATATCATTGTGATGTAGTTAAAGGTTTTCATGAAGATTTCAAATTGTTTTTTTTTTTTTTAGTTTTAAGGTATTTTTACTTTTTACTTAGCCCCACAAGCCAGCGGAGTCCAGTCCAGGGTGGAAAGGCATGTCCCCATCCAGGTGAGCCACGCCAAGATGGAGGTGAAGCCTTCATATTGCTCAGAGGTGCAGAGAGTCGAAGGGGGGAAGCAAAGCTTTAAAACCAAAGTGTCGACTCAGACCTACGGCTACACATCGGTGGGAAACTCTGTCAATATTCAGATAGGTCAAAAGAAATAGTAGCTAAATATTTCAGTTTGACACCACAAACCCTTTTAGTCTTAAATAGGGACGTCTCTGCTTAGAAGAATAACACATATCCTAACCTGACGTGTAGTTACTACATCTGACAGACCATTCCCTTTTGAAGCTGCACATCAGAGAACTTCCTCTGAGTCTTTTCTTGATCAGTCAGGTGGTCTTTGCAAACAAGGCTAGTAGGTAATGTAGTTTAAACTTTCTCACTGTAGGCAAATTAAGCCCCAACAAGTAACAGGTTTATGACATATGCAGTCTGTCGTACTGATCGACAATCTCTACTTATGATTTTGAATTCAATTTCAAGAGTTTTTTTTTTTTTTTACATACTCTTACCAAAGCATACACCGTGATCTGAGGATATGAATTGATCCAGGTGTTAGATTTAGTGATGAATCGTTCAGCATTGGTCATGTACTGTATTAAGGTACATACATTTAATGCTTTTACTTTTATACCTTTCAAAAAATGTTGCCTACGACACTGATGCAGTGCCTTGGTTAACAGGAGCATCAATGCAGTTAAAGAAATCATGTCTACTTGTTAAGAGTTAAATGAAGTGTGCAACACTGATAATGTCACATTCACAACAGACCTTTGGAGACCACTGTGGTCCTTGGACTGTTACAAGTTTATTCAAGGTGTATGGTGTAATTAGAGTACCTTCCACAAAATAAGACTCTACTTCTGGTGTCACTTGGTTTGTTGTGAAAGATGGTTTGAGCAGCTTGTGAAAAAAAAGTAGTAGTAGTAGAAATGGAAACCATTTTCACATCAAATAACGCTACGCGATGCATTAACATGATTTATTGTTGTGAAGCAAAATATCCTCCATCGATTGTGAAGTGAATGTTTGCTTGTCTTTGACGTTACTGTCTGCTTATGCAGTGAATTTACAGAATCTCACAGATAGATTTACATGTAAGTGATAGATGTTTAGATGAGTGATTGCATGTGTTTGCTTCTCCAAAGCAGATTTGTTTATCCAGAGTAACCAGATTTATATCGTATTTAACCGCAAATAAATATTTGTGCGTGTGACTGTACTCGAGCTGACACAATGTACCGTACTACCTTTTCAATGCAGTTGAATAAGAAGCGTATGAATAAGTGCCCTTTGTTGGAGTTTGTGTTGTTTTACAGAGTCTGTTAGTTACAAGAATCATATCAAGTATGAAACATGTAAGCACTAACACATTGTAACTGCTTTTACTGTACATGTGTAGTTTTTGGAAATGTGTATAAGTACTCAGTGTTAAATCTGAATCAAATAAATGTACTGCAAAAAATAAGTGGAGCCAGTTTCTTTCACCACTTCTTATTTATAGAACACATACGGCACAGTCTTCTTCCACTATTGTACTGTGACAAATGTATTTCAATGTTAACAGAAATAACGGTGGTACTGTTGGAGGTTTTATGGATTAGACATACACAATGACATTTTTTCACAAAACACGTTCTAGTAAGGGCCGGTTACATGGTACAAATCAAATCAGATGACTTCATGCATCTAAATGTCTATAATGTAACAGTTACACATTATAAATGTATTTAGGTTGACAATTTAAATAACAGAAACCGTTCTGCAAAGGACTGGTACTACAAAGTGTCTAAAAATAATTAAGTATGCTTTCACTGTGTTTGAGAGAAAGTTGTTAATGGCAAAACATAACAAATTACAGAAAGTCTAAAGGACTTCGAAGCTTGATCCAAAGGCAACTGGGCTGGTCAAGATCTTTAACAAGTCCAGTTTCCTTTGGATCAAGCTTTCAAATGACCATGACCTGGATGACTGAGAACTTACTCAGACATCTTAAAGGACACGTGGGTGTGTTTCATTCTGAGAATAAAAAGTGTTTAATTTTCCTTCAAAGTCAAAAAAGTGTCATTTTACTGTACAGGTGAAGCAACAACATGATAGAGTGACAATAAAAAAAAATGTACAACTTCCAAGTAAACATTTCATCTGTTATTTTAGAGCGGTTATCCTCATGACATATGGTGTCCTTGGTTTGTTTGAAGCAACTGTTTCGACCTCTACCCTGGGATTTAATCCTACTGAAGCACAACTTTAAACACTTACATGGAGTTTAGCAAGCACAAACCCTAAAAATGTACAACAACCTGTAAGAAGATATACTGGAATAGTTGATTTAATCAGTAAAGTTATACTACATGAACCTTATGAAAGTAAAACAGCCACCATATTTTCAGAAATCAGTTGTAGAGCTGGAGTTTCCCCCCCTGAACTAATCATGTGCAGGGGCCTGAGATCAAACCCTGACTGAGTCTGTGATTTATTCATCACACTGCACATCTGTATCACCATGATGTGACGGGTTGTAGAAAAAGAAAGACCTCAAATGAGAGGTAGCATAACTAACTCTCTCTAATCAAGATATCCAGAATTGTACTTTGCCCCACCCTTGATAAGACCGGTTTGTCCACATAATGGAATGAGTTTTGTTTCTCCGCTTGTGTTGTTTATCGGTCGACTCTGCCCTCAAACACACTGAAAACAAAGCCCCACACTTTACAAGTAAGCATTGTTGGAGTATATTTTCGTCATACAAATAAAAACAAAAACATGGAAATGCTTCCTGTTGATAATAAAAAAAAAATGTTCCACTTTACATATCATTTGGTAATAACTTTTCCTGAATACCATGTCAAAGGGACATCTGAGCTTCACAGACCAGCGGAGGGAATGTTCTCGACTTGAGAGGAGGTCTGTGATTTTGTGAGGAGTGGATCGACTGGACTAAAAAGGTGCAAGGATGCTGCGGTATCCTACGAAGACATGTTGGTTTTCTTGACCTTTTGTATTTCCTAGAAGAAGAAAAAATGTATGACTACACAGGTAATGTTTGAAAAACAGACAAATCTACAACAATTTATAAAAAAAAATGTGGAACAAGACCATGCAACTCTTGCTGAAGAGATAGCAGTGTGCACAGGTTCAATACTGTCTCTGGCTTGAATGCCTCCACCGTGCAAGAAGAGCAAGTTTGGCGAGATGGCTTTTTAATGTTGGACTTGTAACTCCTAATACTCAAGCTAAAAGCTGACTTCAAATATCTTAGAAGAAAGGCTGGGTTACTAACATAGCTATCAAGCTGATTAGCCTGGCATGCTAACACTTAAAATGATTTAATTCATCTTTGAGTTTAGTATTTGGTTTTAGCTTTAAACTGGCTCGTTTAAATTTCCCATAAATCAAAAGCCTGTGAAGCCTTCTGTGCAAATGTTATAAAGCCTGTTTGTTGATGCTCAACTGTAGCATTTGTTTTGTTTTGATCATTTCAAGTTAAGGTGTGAGTGCTGCACCAGTAACTCACCTCAAGAAGAACTGCCTTTAACTGCCCATGAGCTTCCTCCAAACTATCATTGACAATTACTGTATCAAATAATCCTTGCTCTTTACCTAGAAGGAGAGAGAAGATAGAATTATGTTTAGATTTATGTTTTTAAAAAGCTCGTTTTTATTACATTTTATGCAGACAAAGAATAGATACTTACTAATCTCCATATCCACTCTGGCTGCACGTAAACGCTTCTGGAGGCTCTCCTCTGACTCCGTTTTTCTGTCTATTAAACGGTGTTCCTGAAACGACACAAATCGACAAAGTGCTCATTTAACAGAGGGCGTTCAGAAATGTATACACATATATATTTTTTAAGATTTATTTGTGGGGATTTTTGCCTTATTTGATAGGACAGTGGATAGAGTGGGGAATGACATGTGATAAAGGAGCGACAGGTAAGACTTGAACCTGGGCTGCCTACTTGGATATTTAAAGCAACAATTAAAACCTGTATTACCAGGTGCCTGTGGATCAAAGAAAAGTTGAGGTGACACCCAGGAACTCCTCTCTGGCAGTGACACAGGAGTGCAGTGCGGTTTGGTGATGTAATGCAGTGTATATCTGGCTGTGCTTACCAGGACCTCCATGGATGGCGGCTGGATAGAGATGTAGATGGGATTGAGGTCGGTCCTTTTAATGCTCCTCACACCCTGCATGTCAATGTCAAGTATACAGATGAGGTTCTTGGCCTGGACGTCTTGAAAAGCCTCTTTACTCGTCCCGTACATGTTCCCTGAAAACTCTGTGTGCTCAATGAAGTCTCCGTTTTCTATCCTTGTCTGCATCGCCTCTCGTGTGACAAAATGATATTCTGAAAAACATCAGCATAAGGATTAAGAAAGCTGTGGTGCCACGGACAAATATAATTTGATTAAGGGTTACAGTGGTTGAAAAAGAGGAGAATGTTGTACCTTTGCCATTCACTTCTCCAGGACGAGGATTTCTTGTTGTGTCTGAGGAGTAAAAAAAAAAGAGACATCTGTGTCATAAATGTCAGAAACAAATGGCTCCAAGAGAAGCAATTATGTCTCTATGGTTGGTGTTTTTCCTGTTTCATATCATTGTGATGTAGTTAAAGGTTTTCATGAAGATTTCAAATTGTTTTTTTTTTTTTAGTTTTAAGGTATTTTACTTTTTACTTAGCCCCACAAGCCAGCGGAGTCCAGTCCAGGGTGGAAAGGCATGTCCCCATCCAGGTGAGCCACGCCAAGATGGAGGTGAAGCCTTCATATTGCTCAGAGGTGCAGAGAGTCGAAGGGGGGAAGCAAAGCTTTAAAACCAAAGTGTCGACTCAGACCTACGGCTACACATCGGTGGGAAACTCTGTCAATATTCAGATAGGTCAAAAGAAATAGTAGCTAAATATTTCAGTTTGACACCACAAACCCTTTTAGTCTTAAATAGGGACGTCTCTGCTTAGAAGAATAACACATATCCTAACCTGACGTGTAGTTACTACATCTGACAGACCATTCCCTTTTGAAGCTGCACATCAGAGAACTTCCTCTGAGTCTTTTCTTGATCAGTCAGGTGGTCTTTGCAAACAAGGCTAGTAGGTAATGTAGTTTAAACTTTCTCACTGTAGGCAAATTAAGCCCCAACAAGTAACAGGTTTATGACATATGCAGTCTGTCGTACTGATCGACAATCTCTACTTATGATTTTGAATTCAATTTCAAGAGTTTTTTTTTTTTTTTACATACTCTTACCAAAGCATACACCGTGATCTGAGGATATGAATTGATCCAGGTGTTAGATTTAGTGATGAATCGTTCAGCATTGGTCATGTACTGTATTAAGGTACATACATTTAATGCTTTTACTTTTATACCTTTCAAAAAATGTTGCCTACGACACTGATGCAGTGCCTTGGTTAACAGGAGCATCAATGCAGTTAAAGAAATCATGTCTACTTGTTAAGAGTTAAATGAAGTGTGCAACACTGATAATGTCACATTCACAACAGACCTTTGGAGACCACTGTGGTCCTTGGACTGTTACAAGTTTATTCAAGGTGTATGGTGTAATTAGAGTACCTTCCACAAAATAAGACTCTACTTCTGGTGTCACTTGGTTTGTTGTGAAAGATGGTTTGAGCAGCTTGTGAAAAAAAAGTAGTAGTAGTAGAAATGGAAACCATTTTCACATCAAATAACGCTACGCGATGCATTAACATGATTTATTGTTGTGAAGCAAAATATCCTCCATCGATTGTGAAGTGAATGTTTGCTTGTCTTTGACGTTACTGTCTGCTTATGCAGTGAATTTACAGAATCTCACAGATAGATTTACATGTAAGTGATAGATGTTTAGATGAGTGATTGCATGTGTTTGCTTCTCCAAAGCAGATTTGTTTATCCAGAGTAACCAGATTTATATCGTATTTAACCGCAAATAAATATTTGTGCGTGTGACTGTACTCGAGCTGACACAATGTACCGTACTACCTTTTCAATGCAGTTGAATAAGAAGCGTATGAATAAGTGCCCTTTGTTGGAGTTTGTGTTGTTTTACAGAGTCTGTTAGTTACAAGAATCATATCAAGTATGAAACATGTAAGCACTAACACATTGTAACTGCTTTTACTGTACATGTGTGTTTTTGGAAATGTGTATAAGTACTCAGTGTTAAATCTGAATCAAATAAATGTACTGCAAAAAATAAGTGGAGCCAGTTTCTTTCACCACTTCTTATTTATAGAACACATACGGCACAGTCTTCTTCCACTATTGTACTGTGACAAATGTATTTCAATGTTAACAGAAATAACGGTGGTACTGTTGGAGGTTTTATGGATTAGACATACACAATGACATTTTTTCACAAAACACGTTCTAGTAAGGGCCGGTTACATGGTACAAATCAAATCAGATGACTTCATGCATCTAAATGTCTATAATGTAACAGTTACACATTATAAATGTATTTAGGTTGACAATTTAAATAACAGAAACCGTTCTGCAAAGGACTGGTACTACAAAAGTGTCTAAAAATAATTAAGTATGCTTTCACTGTGTTTGAGAGAAAGTTGTTAATGGCAAAACATAACAAATTACAGAAAGTCTAAAGGACTTCGAAGCTTGATCCAAAGGCAACTGGGCTGGTCAAGATCTTTAACAAGTCCAGTTTCCTTTGGATCAAGCTTTCAAATGACCATGACCTGGATGACTGAGAACTTACTCAGACATCTTAAAGGACACGTGGGTGTGTTTCATTCTGAGAATAAAAAGTGTTTAATTTTCCTTCAAAGTCAAAAAAGTGTCATTTTACTGTACAGGTGAAGCAACAACATGATAGAGTGACAATAAAAAAAAATGTACAACTTCCAAGTAAACATTTCATCTGTTATTTTAGAGCGGTTATCCTCATGACATATGGTGTCCTTGGTTTGTTTGAAGCAACTGTTTCGACCTCTACCCTGGGATTTAATCCTACTGAAGCACAACTTTAAACACTTACATGGAGTTTAGCAAGCACAAACCCTAAAAATGTACAACAACCTGTAAGAAGATATACTGGAATAGTTGATTTAATCAGTAAAGTTATACTACATGAACCTTATGAAAGTAAAACAGCCACCATATTTTCAGAAATCAGTTGTAGAGCTGGAGTTTCCCCCCCTGAACTAATCATGTGCAGGGGCCTGAGATCAAACCCTGACTGAGTCTGTGATTTATTCATCACACTGCACATCTGTATCACCATGATGTGACGGGTTGTAGAAAAAGAAAGACCTCAAATGAGAGGTAGCATAACTAACTCTCTCTAATCAAGATATCCAGAATTGTACTTTGCCCCACCCTTGATAAGACCGGTTTGTCCACATAATGGAATGAGTTTTGTTTCTCCGCTTGTGTTGTTTATCGGTCGACTCTGCCCTCAAACACACTGAAAACAAAGCCCCACACTTTACAAGTAAGCATTGTTGGAGTATATTTTCGTCATACAAATAAAAACAAAAACATGGAAATGCTTCCTGTTGATAATAAAAAAAAAATGTTCCACTTTACATATCATTTGGTAATAACTTTTCCTGAATACCATGTCAAAGGGACATCTGAGCTTCACAGACCAGCGGAGGGAATGTTCTCGACTTGAGAGGAGGTCTGTGATTTTGTGAGGAGTGGATCGACTGGACTAAAAAGGTGCAAGGATGCTGCGGTATCCTACGAAGACATGTTGGTTTTCTTGACCTTTTGTATTTCCTAGAAGAAGAAAAAATGTATGACTACACAGGTAATGTTTGAAAAACAGACAAATCTACAACAATTTATAAAAAAAAATGTGGAACAAGACCATGCAACTCTTGCTGAAGAGATAGCAGTGTGCACAGGTTCAATACTGTCTCTGGCTTGAATGCCTCCACCGTGCAAGAAGAGCAAGTTTGGCGAGATGGCTTTTTAATGTTGGACTTGTAACTCCTAATACTCAAGCTAAAAGCTGACTTCAAATATCTTAGAAGAAAGGCTGGGTTACTAACATAGCTATCAAGCTGATTAGCCTGGCATGCTAACACTTAAAATGATTTAATTCATCTTTGAGTTTAGTATTTGGTTTTAGCTTTAAACTGGCTCGTTTAAATTTCCCATAAATCAAAAGCCTGTGAAGCCTTCTGTGCAAATGTTATAAAGCCTGTTTGTTGATGCTCAACTTGTAGCATTTGTTTTGTTTTGATCATTTCAAGTTAAGGTGTGAGTGCTGCACCAGTAACTCACCTCAAGAAGAACTGCCTTTAACTGCCCATGAGCTTCCTCCAAACTATCATTGACAATTACTGTATCAAATAATCCTTGCTCTTTACCTAGAAGGAGAGAGAAGATAGAATTATGTTTAGATTTATGTTTTTAAAAAGCTCGTTTTTATTACATTTTATGCAGACAAAGAATAGATACTTACTAATCTCCATATCCACTCTGGCTGCATGTAAACGCTTCTGGAGGCTCTCCTCTGACTCCGTTTTTCTGTCTCTTAAACGGTGTTCCTGAAACGACACAAATCGACAAAGTGCTCATTTAACAGAGGGCGTTCAGAAATGTATACACATATATATTTTTTAAGATTTATTTGTGGGGATTTTTGCCTTATTTGATAGGACAGTGGATAGAGTGGGGAATGACATGTGATAAAGGAGCGACAGGTAAGACTTGAACCTGGGCTGCCTACTTGGATATTTAAAGCAACAATTAAAACCTGTATTACCAGGTGCCTGTGGATCAAAGAAAAGTTGAGGTGACACCCAGGAACTCCTCTCTGGCAGTGACACAGGAGTGCAGTGCGGTTTGGTGATGTAATGCAGTGTATATCTGGCTGTGCTTACCAGGACCTCCATGGATGGCGGCTGGATAGAGATGTAGATGGGATTGAGGTCGGTCCTTTTAATGCTCCTCACACCCTGCATGTCAATGTCAAGTATACAGATGAGGTTCTTGGCCTGGACGTCTTGCACAGCCGCTTTACTCGTCCCGTACATGTTCCCTGAAAACTCTGTGCTCAATGAAGTCTCCGTTTTCTATCCCCGTCTGCATCGCCTCTCGTGTGACAAAATGATAATCTGAAAAACATCAGCATAAGGATTAAGAAAGCTGTGGTGCCACGGACAAATATAATTTGATTAAGGGTTACAGTGGTTGAAAAAGAGGAGAATGTTGTACCTTTGCCATTCACTTCTCCAGGACGAGGATTTCTTGTTGTGTCTGAGGAGTAAAAAAAAAAGACATCTGTGTCATAAATGTCAGAAACAAATGGCTCGAAGAGAAGCAATTATGTCTCTATGGTTGGTGTTTTTCTGTTTCATATCATTGTGATGTAGTTAAAGGTTTTCATGAAGATTTCAAATTGTTTTTTTTTTTTTTTAGTTTTAAGGTATTTTACTTTTTACTTCTGGACATTTTACAGTTTGACTGCTTACCAAAGAGAATAATAAAACAATAGGACACCAGTAGTTGCAGCTCTATATGAAATGTAAAATGTATACAGCTACATCTTCTTTATGATCCTCAGATTGAAAAAGGATGAATGTGAAATGCTCTGACATGGTGCGGCACACTTACGGGAGACGCTGAAGCCAAACACACTGTCGTATTCTTTCATGAGCTTCTTCAGCAGCGTGCTCTTCCCCGCCCCGGACGGCCCGCTCAGCACCACAGGCCTGGGTCCAGCCATAGCTGAAGGGGAGGAGGAGCAGAGAGGAAAGGAAAAGAAGGTGGGTGAGGTCGTATGGAGGGGTGACA